TCCTCTTGATTGGAATGTTGCCCTTCAGAATATTGCCCATTGGAGTTTCCGACATTAAAACAAGTCCTTTATGTGAATTCAGGCCTAGAACTAATTAACAGGCATGTGGTTCCAGCTTCAGGTGGCTTCTCTTTGTTTGTCCCAGCTCTATTCACCTTTTATGTTGGGGTGACCCTGCCTGTTGGCAGATTAGAGCCCTTCTTCCCAGGGGCCTCTTAAGAATCTGCTTATACCACCCTTGGGACAACAGAAGCTACAGAAATGTGGCTGGTTGCACCCACGTGGAGAAGCTGTAGTATGCTGTTTGTTTTTCTTGTAGGACTCCATCCCTGTGTGCACCTCTCTCTTTGGAGACACCTCTGACACGACCTCCACTGGCCTGGCCCAACGCCTAGGTATGTACCTATGGCTGGTGCTGAGACCAGCCAGGTGGGATCCCCCTGCTTACTTCAGAAGTAAGGAGCCCTCTTGCAGTGCTGTTGGAGGCACAGACCAGTGTGCACTGATCTTTACTGGGCACTTTTGTGCTCCCCTGTCCCCACTGTCTCAAGCCAGTACATTCCTGCCTAATTCCCTTGTCCTTCTTGGCTTTACCTTTGAGGTAAAGGCACTCCAATGAGCGCTTCATCTCCTTACGGAAGGAGAGTGAATATTGCCCACAGTGCCCTAGGGCAGCTGTTCAGGATGGCCCCTGAGCCTCATGGGGCTTTGGTGGAGCTGTGGGCAGGTGTCACCAGTGTGCAGAAAGGACCATCTGTCAGTCTCTGTGTGGTGACCAGAGGCTGGTGGGAGACTGGTCTAGTAGCCTCTCAGTGTGGAGTAGTGTAGGGTCTGGTGGTGCTCAGTGTGGTGGCATCATACAAAGAACATGAAGTGAAGGTTCTACATGCTCCTGCACCCGAGAGACTACTTCCATAAATATGTAGGAGTTTAGGTAAGAATGGCTTGTGTTCTGTCATCACTAGCATGGAGTGAGTGCCTTGGTATTCTTGGTTCCTAGGCAGTTGAGTAATAGAGTTAGTCTTGGGATCCCTAGTATCCTCAGGAGATAGGAAGGGAAGGAGCCCAGTTCCTGGTTTTAAGGTGTTCATATCTCACTTTGGTGCTGTACAAAGGGAGCTCTGTTGTCCTGACAAGTAGGGGCGTTCCTCTCAGGCGCTGGAGGCCCATGCATGTGAATGGACTATAAAGTGAGGAGGAACACCACCAGCGAAGGCAGGCCAGTGTCACCAGCCATCCCAGCTTCTCACGCTGCCATGGTAGAGGTCAGGGAGGGCAGAGGTCAACGTTTTAGCAACTTGCAAGGTAGCCTGGAGTCAAACCTGACGAATTAAGTTTTTTGGTAACTTGTTTTTAAGAAGTAATTTTAAATTTACAGGAGAGAATTCCTGGGTTATTTAGAGTACAAGTTGTCTACCTCTGTCTGTTTAGATCATTTGTTTTCTTTGAATCATGTGAAAGTCACTTGGAGACATGGTGCCTCTTCTAAGTGTTTCATTGAATATTTCCCCAGGATTAGAGGGTAGCATGCCAAAGAGACCACTGTGTGCCTATGTCCTCAGAAAAAGTCATGGTGAAGTGTGCATAGTTATGGAGACAGGATGCTGGGTGGGTATCAGCCAACAGACCCAGACAGGAGGAAGAGGATGACAGGAGTTGGTCTGATACGCTGCCAAAAAGCCTTAATACAAAAAGCATAAAGTGTGCTCAAGAATATCCAAGAGATGGAGGCCTAATACCAACTTGTATGCAAACCCCAAGCAGTTCTCAGTTATCAGGTCACTGGCTACCAGTTTCTCCAAAGGGTTTGGTACCTACCACCCAGTGAGTCCTCAGCTGTGCCCGGCCTCAAGCCTGGAGATGCAGCACTAATGCATCCTGATGGGAAGGGAGAAGTGTCCTGCACAGCTTCTTTTACGGAAGGTGAAAGCAGGCAGGGGACGTTCCAAGTCACCCTGGAAACATCTCAGCTTCTGTGTGGAGGAGACCCTGTATTCTTGTGGTCTTGGAGGCAGAGTTGGATCTAGGAGGATGCTGCCACAGTAGTGGCTTGACTCTCTGGGAAGGCCTGTCTTAGCAATTCTAGTGATTGGAATCAAAGTGGGCTCTGAGAGGGCGGGCTGAGCAGGGTATGACCTGATGGTTGTTCCAGCTAGCCTTTGTGGGACCCTCTGCAGTACCACATTGCTCGTTTCAAGATCATTGTTTAACTGTCCTGCACCTAGGGGATAGGAGATTGGTGAGACACTATGGAGGAGACTTATGCCCTGCTCCCCTATCCCACAGTCCAGGCCCAGCTGCCCCCTTTGTGGGTACCCTGCATGTAGCAAGCTGGCATGAGACTCTGCTCCAAGTTCTATAAGCAGTTCCTAAAACACCGGCTTTCATAACTAAATAACTGTATCTGTCCATTCAGATACATTCCCTTTGTTAAGAATAACAGCTTTATTGAGATGTAATCTACCTGCTGTACAATTCACTCAGCTGTCCTCAAGGCTGTGGCTGGGCTCATCCTTTCACTCTGCACAGTTCTGTCAGCTACCCATTCAATGAGGCATTATCCAAGTTCTCCTGTAACCCCCCAAACCTCATTGTTTTCAGTAGCTGAGAAAAATACCTTTAAGATCCAAAGGTTGATTTGTAGAAGAGGAATTGAAGCCCAAAGAACTTTCTAGATTTTGATGGGGCTGAGAGGCCCTCACCTGAAGCTGATTCAGCTCCTGTTCCATGTGCCACTCTGCCTCCCGCGTTATCTAGTGAGACTGAGGGTAAGACAGCCACCAGGAGGACAGAATTCACACCAGGGTGTGATCCTGTGGTGGGTATGCTATACTACCTTCTAGCTTCGGACCACATGGATTTTCTGCCTATGGATGAGCGATGGCACTGGGGGGAGGGGGGAGGCCATGCCTCAGTAGGTGAGTAGGAGTTTCTGTACCTTCCCTGAGCATGGGTGTGGTCAAGGGAGGAGGCCCAGTCTTGGTCCAGGCACAATTGAATTGGCTTAGGCTTATTGCTTACTCTTCTTGTTTTGTTGTTTCTGGCCTTGACTAACTGGTTTTAATTAACACTGAATGTTAGTCATATGTGCATATATATATATATATATAAGTATATACACACTCACATATACATACATGTACATGCATAGAATATATATATGTTCACCTCCAGGCAGAGACTGGAATTGGAATGGAACCTGGTATTAGTGAAAGAGACCAACTTTAACATTTCATTTTAAATATGTTAGCATATTAGGTGTTTTTAGAAACAAAGCCTACAAAACTCCAAAGCACAAAAGCCAGTGTAGAGCAGAAGGCTTGAGAGGACTTGTTAACACTGATTGTTGGGCTGAACCACTGGAGGACTTTGTTAATATTGATTGCTGGGCTGAACCCAGCTTTCTGATGTAGGTCTGGATGCTTCTTTCAGCAAGCTCCCACTAATGCTGCTAATGTGGTGCCCACACAAAAAATCTAGGGCTCAAGAACCTAAGATAGGTGCGAAGTAACGTCTATTTGAATGAACAGCACCAGGAAGAGTTAGAAAGTAGAACTCTTTTCTCTCTAAACCTTGGTTTCTCTTTCCAAGTATTTCCCAGCTGTAGGCAGGTGTGAGGAAAGAAACCCTCTGGTGTTTCTGTGATGGTTTTGTCAATGTTTCTCTCTTTTTAGCCAGGAAGACCAACAAACAGGTGTTTGTCAGCTATAACCTTCAAAACACAGACAGTAACTTCGCGTTACTTGTAGAAAACAGGATCAAGGAAGAAATGGAGGCTTTTCCGGAAAAGTTCTGAGTGGCAGAAGGGAGAATTTATAACTTATGTACAATGTACATTTAAATAAATGGATTGTGCTTTTGTTATCAGGCTGTGTTTATACTTCATTTAAAGGGTTTATCTTGAGCTGGGAGTGTAGCTCAAGCGGTAGAATTTAGCAAGTGTAAACCTTGTTCAAACCCTAGTATTACTGAAAAAGAAAAACCCCAAATAAATAGTTCATCTTAAGGGCTTTCCCTTTCCTCTGTCAGTGAACCAGAATGTGCTGATAGGCTGGGGAAGGAGGAAAGCAAGAGGTAGCAAACACTTGACTACTCAGTGGGGGCAAATGGGGCTTTGTGGCAATTGAAGGGTGCAACATAATGCAGAGTTTCAATCAGTTGTGACTTATGTACAGTCCCAATTAGAGCTGAAGTTAGTATCTTTATAAGTATGTTCTAGTGATTGGGGGTAATGGCTTGAGTGTTAGAGGCCTAACAAACAAGCACGAGGCCTTGAGTTGAAATAACCCAACCCGTGGCGCCTTTCCCTCCCCAAAAATACACTTTAGTTTTTCTGTGCTTTTCTCAGGTTTCTGTCTGCCTCCCATGAAGATGTTTTCCCATCAATTTTAGCTAACCCTGTCTCTTGGGGACTTCTTACTATGTTCTCCATGTGCTCTTTCCCTGGGCTGTTTCCTGCTAGGAATAGGGCCCCTCCGAGGAGTGCATGGTGGATGTCTGAGGTTAGGAGCCTCTGCAGACTTCCCATGCTAGCCTCGAAGGCCTTGGCCACCGTTTCCACAGTTTGGGAAGCACAGTGGGCCCCTTTCTAGGATAGAATAGTAAGTGACACAAAATCAGGGCTATAGAGAGAAGAGTTTGGTATAAATACTTTATTAAAGAAATATTTTCTTGTTAAAAAATACTACATTGAGAAGAGTTTGGGGTTATCAGTCTTTCCTCACAGGATCACAGTGTAAGATAGTCATTTCTTAACCTCTCTAGGCTCTTTCACGGATTAGCAGAACATAAATGAGAAAAAAATTCCTCTTAAATGTATTGAATTCTCAGGTGGGCTGAGAATGGCACTAGATAAAACAGTTTGTGTTTAGTCCCACCTCTCCGCTTCTGCCTGCCTTTTAAGACTAGGACTTTAAAGCAGAGTGACAGCTCCCTCTCCCACCCCATCCCCCAGGCCAGTGGACAGTTCACAGAGGCGTTGAAAGTAGTGACTCAGTGACCTCTGAATCAACATGGAGGACTTTATTACTCTTCATCAATGGTAGTGAAATGCCCTTCGCTGGATACCATCAGGTGAGGTAGGGAAGACATTCCAGAGGAAATCTGTTAATGGGGCAACATTTTTATTTCTGTACATTTACATACGAATTTTCCCCAAAGGTACAACAGAGGCAACACCATGCAGACAGGTAGCTGTGAATGACAGTTCAGAACTCAGTGTAGCTTGTGCTATGAACAAGTACCGCCGGAGGAAGCCCCGTGGACATGTACGGTAACATGGTTCCTAGAGTCAAACCTCACAAGGTTGGGGTGCAGAGGGACAGAGGTAGGGAAGCGTTCCTTATTTGACACGACACACTGTACTGCTTTCCCAACACACACACAATACATTACAGTGAGGTGGTGGTCTTCAAGACAGTTGAATCGTGGGTCTCCCCAGCCTGAGGGCCCCAGGGCTGGGCAGTGTGACAGTCATAAGATGCACTGAGTGGCACTTCCAGTTCAGGGGTCTCCCATGTGGCTCTGGGAAGTGGTCATGTTTGAGTGGGATCCTTCCCCTATGAGGTCTGATTTGATGCTTACCGTTCTGTGGTCAGACCCACTCACTACTGTGTCTTCCAGCTGCCAGTGATTACAGTCTTGGAAAACATTTAACCCCTTTTTCTGTTTGAGTGCTAATAACTACGGTATTTGATAAGAGTTATTACTGACTTCTGGAAAAGAATAAGAAATAACCCCATCTCCGGTGTTCACATTTGTGCATAACTTATTAAAGGGTTTGCAGGGTGTAGGGATGGGTGGTGAGAGCAGCAGGGTACCTTCCCACATTTCCCCAGGGGATGAGAGGGCAAAACAGAAAGGGAATGTGCCTGAGATGAGTCTCTTCTAGAAATCCAGGAGGGACATTGGACCAAGAAGCTCAGTATAGGCTGGTGCTAGGGAGCTGGGGCTCAGCTCTCCCTGTGGGGCCAGGCAGGTTTATCCTGTCTCCGGCCTGGGTGCCCTCCTGCCTTTCTGCCTTGGTATGGGCTTTGCAATGCTCCCATAGGGAAGCATTCTTTTTCTGACTATATTTCATACAGGTGTTCCTCAAGAGCTTCAACTACCCTTAAGCTGTAGGAGCTCAGACTTACCCCTAGCTTTCCCCCACAGGGTTCTGCCTGCTGAGATCTTCCTGCACATTTGCTAGACTGGGCCCTGCCCCAGGTCCCAGAGCCAGCTGCTTACAGTCACTGATAGGTTCGCCTTGATTGCTGAAGTGCTTAGCAGTGGTCTTCACTGGCCCAGTTTTTGTTGTTGTTGTTTTTTTTTCATTGTCACTTGAGGTGGAAAAGTTTAGAAGTGCTATACCTTGACATCACATTCTTGTGATTTCGGCAGCATTCTGTAGCTTCCATACATTGCTTTATAAAGCACTGAACGACCAGTGTGAGACTGCTCACAACTTCTGTATATGTTCTGTCCTATATTTAGCTGGGTTTGCTGCCAGACGACTTGGTAGCAAGTACCCTAAAAAAAGGTAAAAGGTATTTGACAAGTTTGGCACGCAAAGGCTTGCACAGATCTAAAGAAAGGCCTTTGTAAGAGGTGAATGCAGACTGAATGGACACACAGAACAAGATGGCTTAAGAAAAAAGACCAGGGTGGGTGAAGAAGAGCTGGATTTGGAGCAGGTTTGGGGAAGGCTGGCCAGACAGCCTCCATCCCCTGTCATCTGTCCTGGAGCAAGACTGTCAGACCACAGGCATCAGATGATGAGTTGGCAAAGGCCCAGCTGCTGCAAATACAGGACTGCACGTCTGATTACTGGCCCCAGAAGGTCTTTATCAAGGCCACGGGTTCCTGCTGATGTGTGTACCAGATGTGGAGAAGAGGTGGGTGAAACAGGAAGAAACAGACCAGGTGGAGAGCTGGATGGGGAGAAACTCAACCCCTTTCTGGCCCTTTGAATTCTAGCAACTCATTTGAAGTCATCTAATTGGCTACACAGGCCCAAGACTGATTTCCCTGGCTGAACACAGTCCATGGCAGAGATGCATCAGAGGGGCAAGACTGATGGTTCTAGTAAGCCAACCTGTCCAGAAAAGCAGGAGCCTGAGTTGCTACAAAGCAGTGCCTGTCTGTGTGGAGAAAGCTGGTTTCTTAGCAGCCCCAGGTGTTCCACTGCCTGGGGCAAAATGAGGAACATAATCAGAACCCTGGGAGAGGGCAGCATGGGAGTTGAGCTTTGGTGAGTTATTGCTTTCTCACTTCTTGCTTCTTTCAAGAGGCTAGAGACCATGTGGACTGGACTTGAACAATCTGCACTCCTGTCCTAGGCCCCTCTGTGCTGAGTGAGTGACAGGTGGAAGTGATGAGGAAGACATGAGAGGATGGTCTCCTGCAGTGCTGTGGCTCTGGGATCCCGGGAGAATGCCAGCCATCTGAGCTGGTGCTCTCTGTGGTATGTGTTCCAGATGTGGGTGACAGCCACATGTGGGAGGGCCAGGCTTCCTCCTGGGATTTGTCTCAGTCATCTTTCTCAATTATTTTCCTGTTATTATAGTTCACACAGGAGCCACATTTTCAAGTAGTGCTGGCAACAAAGCTGATTGGAGGAGGGAATTTTCTCTGTTGGAGCCAACTCTGGGAAGAAGTTTTAATAACAATGAATGTCTCAGACCCCAACACATTTGCTACTTGCATATTTTTTTTAAAACTAAGCAAACCTGGTGTCAGAAAACTGGTGAATATTATCGCTGATCATTTTAGATTTCTGGTAAAGCATCAAGTACAAGGGATGATCCAGAAGGAATGAGGGCTAAGCTGGTTTTGATAATATCCAAGAGCTGTTTCCCCTAACATGGATGGAAACTACCCTACAAACCAAAAGGGGGAAAAAAGGGACTTTATAACATACAGATTAGCAAAACCCTAACTGTGTACACTTCACTGTCTCAAATGTAGTCCCCAGAATGTTCCCCAAGAGTGTCGACTGTCCATGGTGGGTGGCCTGCGTGGCGGCTCCAGGCCTGCCCAGTGAGCATTGGTGGTGCAGCTGGAGGGTGTGCAGCTGTAAGGACCCCCAGCGAGGAGGCTGGCTGCTGTGTTGGTCACTCCTGGGGTCTTCCCCAGTGACCCTGCCTCACTCCTGAAGGCTGTTCCATCTCATGATCACTGAGAAGGAAGGGAATAAAGTGCTTCTTGTAAAAATGACCAAAATAAATACCAACATTCAATGGCAGAAAAGAAAGTCTTGAAGAATTATTTCCAGAGTCTGTTTCCTTAATCCCACTCCTTGGACATTTGGAAAGATAGAATTTCCCCACACCACTTGAAAGTCTCACAATTGGATGGTGTCAGCAGCAGAGTTGGACTTTCTTCCTCTTGCCGTGGTTCTTCTCCCTGGTCTCTAAATCTGTGTCCAAACTCCCTCCAGCCTTTGGAGTCCCAGGGGACTTGCAGGACGGCAGCGGGTCTTGGCCAGCTACATGGACTTCATGCCATTGGCTGTGGCACCCTCAGGCAGCCCATCACCTGTAGCAGCTGTGTCGTGCAGGCCTGAGTAGTCCTTGAGCTCAGCATTGGTGAGCAGGAGCGGCTGCTCCCCCTTCTTGTGGGGCAGCAGCGGCTGCCTCGTGTAGTGCTCCCCATTGAAGATGTTCTCAGGCAGGTTCTGGTCCCTGCTTTCCGGCAGCAGCAGGATGCAGATAATGCAGATGAGTGTACAGCAGGCAAAGATGATGTGGTGTAAGAAGTAGCCTTTCTGGTTGTGCAGCTCGATGATGGGTGCTGTCAGCATGCCAAAGCCTGCGCTGGCCAGCACCAGCCCCAGCCCACCACACCTGCAGGGAAGGGAGGTCATAGGGTTAGTGGAGCACATGGGGTTGGTGCTTCAGCAGGCCCTGGTGCAAGCATGGTTACCAGCTCACGAGAATTCAAATGCACCCCCTCCCCACTTTATGGAAACAGTCTTCAAATCTGTATTGATGACATTTAGAGGCAGGACCTTGGGGGAATTAGGACTAGAGGCAATTAGAAGGATGGAGCACTTATGATGACATTAGTGGCTTTGCAAGGAAAGGAAGAGAGACCCAGGCTAATCTACTTGCTGTGCCTTTACCATGGGATGTTCTGTGCTACCGTAGGTCTCTACCAACAACAGGTGTAACCCACCACCTTTGGAACTCTCAGCTTCTAGAACCATGAGATGAATAAACCTTTGTTCTTGATTAATTATACACTTTAAGGTAATTAGTCAGCAACAGAAAACAGATGGAGACACAGGAGATTGGTACAACACCGCATATTCCACAGGGGGACCTCATAGGCCACATTCCTCTTTTGCTGTATCGGTGGACCACTGCAGCTCCGAACACATTAAACAACAAAACCCAGGACATGTCCTGGTTCCCAGGCCTCACTGTGGACAGGCAGAGATGGTTTTACCTTCAGCAGCATGAGGTGAGTTGTCAGCCTAATCTCAGAGTAGTGGGTAAAAGACACAGGAATGTAGACTTCAGTTGGTTTAAGGAATCCCTTTCTAATGGAGCTGCTCAAACCACCTTTGAATGACAAAGGAACTTTTGTCTTTGTTATATGTCAGAGTAGAATAAAGGGGAAGTCCCTGCAGGTTGCTGGTTTGACTAAGTGGCTCTTAACTCAAAAAAAGGCTTTCCTACAAACTCAAAATATACAATCAACATAAAGGGCAACTGCTACCTACCTGTTAGCAACAGACTACTCAAACATGAAAATTTAAAAACAAAATTAAAATGCTTATAAATAGTAAAAGGTGTAGCATGATGACTTACATCTGTCATCCTAGATACTTAGGAGGTAGAGATTAGGAGGATCAAGATTCTAGGTCAGCCATGCAAAAGATTAGCAAGACCTCATATGAACCAATTAAAAAAGAAGCTGAGCATTTTGGACTGTGCTTGTCATCTCAGTTGTGAGGAAAGTGTAAACAAGATCTCTGTCTTTAGTCTGGCTTGAGTAGGAAGGCAAGACGCTATTTGAAATATAAAGCAACAAGGGTTGGATGTGTGGTTCAAGTGCTAGAGTACCTGCTTGGTCCCTGAGTTCAAACTCTTAGTACTGCCAAAAAGAAAAAAAGAATTGTGCAGATCACAGTCCTTGTCAAGTTGAGGTACAGATTCAACACAAGCTCAATTAAACTTACTTGATTTTTTCCATTTGAGAAAATTATAAGCTGATCTCAGAATTCAAATGGAAATATAAAGGGCCCCAAATAGCCAAAAACTATTTTGAAAAAGACCAAAGTTGCAAGACCATATATCTACAGAAAGACCCATGGATACAACTAGGAGTTCAGAAACAAAGTGGCTCCCCACCTCCCCTCCTTGGTGCTTGGGATGACTCTCAGTACTACTTGAAACAATAAACAACTGCCACTTAAGTTATGCACTCAGCCACAGACAACCTTTTACACTGATTTTTGACAAAGGCAAACTCAGTAGGGGAAAGAGGAGTTTTTTTCAATCAGCAGTGTTAGCACAAGGCGTTCACATGCAAAGGATGAAGCTGCACCTGTCCTTTACACTTCACGTCACATACAAAAATGAACTCAAGATGGATTTAAGAACCTGAGTGAAAGCTCAAACACTTCCAGAAAAACATCAAAAATCCTTGTGACTTAAATTTAATCAGGCATATCAGGCAGGATTTAATAAAAAATTAAAAATTTCTACCCTTCTATTTTTCTCATGGAAAGCAGGAAATGTTTCTTCTCCCTACTTTCTCCTGTTTTACTGAAAATAAACCATCGATGAGACTCTGACTCAGGCCGGACAATTTCTGTCACTGGAGGATGGATGAGAGGTTTCCCAGTTTGCACAGAAATGCGGGGGTCCTAGAGAGTTCCACTCAGAAAAGCATTTCAGAATGACTCATAAACAGGAGTCTCATCGATGGTTTATTTTCAGTAAAACAGGAGAAAGTAGGGAAAAAAGCTAATTAACCCAACAGTCTGGGTGTTGGTAACATATGATTGTGGTCTCAGCTATGAAGAAAATGTAGGTAGGAGGATTATGGTCTGAGGCTGGACCTGGGCCAAAATTTGAGACCATATTTGAAATATAACTAAAGGGCTGAGGGTATGACTCAGGTGGTGATCGAACACTGGTGTGGAAAAGCACAAGGCCTTGAGTTCAAACCCTAAGATGGCTTAGTGGTAGAGTGCTTGCCTTGCATACATGAAGCCCTGGGTTTGATTCCTCAGTACCACATAAACAAAAGAAGCTGGAAGTAGTGATGTGGCTCAAGTGGTAGAGTGCTAGCCTTGAGCAAAAAGCAGCTCAGGAACAGTGCCCAGGCCCTGAGTTCAAGCCCCAGGCCTGGCAAAAAATAAAACAAACAGAAAACCTCCCAGTACTGAAAAAAAAAAAAGGAAAAAAATTAAGCATCTATATAACCAGCAATTCCATATATGAAGTAAAATATATACTCATAAAACACAAGCTAATGCTTATTGCAGCATTCTTCATAATAGCAATACTTGGAAATTATGCATGTGTTTATCAGCTAGTGAATGGGTAAATGAAACATGGTCTATCATAGGCAAAGGAGTATTACTCAGCTAGGAATGAAGCAGTGACACATGCTACACTATGGAAACATTATGCTAAATGATTGTGTGATTCCATTTGTATATAGTGTCAAGAAGGCCAATCTATAGAGAGGGAATGCAGATTAGTGACTGTCTGGGACTGGAAGAGAGGACAGAAACTTGCTTATAGATAGTAGGGGATGGGGTATTGGAGATGGAAATTGGACTCTGGTGATGGCTGCACACTGCTATAAAAGTACTAAGTTACTGACTAAACTTCAAATGGGTGAATTTATGGTATGTCAATGATACCTTAATAAAGCTGTTACCACCCTGCCCCCACACTGTTCCTGTTGTGGGGACTGGGCCTCCTCTTGGTACAAATGCCCATTAGTCTGGGGCAGTTGCCTGGTCACCTTGTCTTCCCTTTCCACAGCCATCATGACTGCCTAGGCCTGGGTTTTTTTTCCATGGCATGGAGCAGCCTGTTCCCACTTGCTTGCAAGGGGCTAGACCAGTCCTGGCTGAAGGGGATGTTACTGGGTGCACTTGGTCCTGCACAGGTGCTTTGTTGGGCTCCTGGCTCTAGGTCAGCATTGTGGAGTCAGCTGAGCAAGCTGCAGAGTGACTCCCACCATATCCTCCTCACCCACAGCACTGCCCAACTCACCGTCTCTAACAACTTAAGAAACTTTCAAGAGTGGGACCTTTAGTCTTCAGTCTTCGGTCTCTACCATTAACCTCAGTGCCTGAGATCTGACAGGCACGCAGGCATTATCCAACAATCCCCACTTCCCAGATTCCCACTCTTTGCCTTGCATGGGGGGCAGTGAAGTACAATAATAATGAGATACCCTTACATGACCAGGTTACCACAACTGAGCAGATGCTTGCTGGCTGAGCAGATCAACCCTACACTGTTATACTGTTGAAGTTTCCATGACAAGGAATGAAGTGGTCCCTGGCCAATAACCCACAAAGCATTGAGTCCTCAATGTAACAGTGCGTGAGGAACATGATCTGCCAATAACCATGGCCCTGGAAGCAGGTTCCCCTGACTGCAGCCTGGGATGCCCTGAGCAGGGAACCCAGATAAGCTGCCCCGAGACCCCTCAGCCACTGGCACTGGAGATAACAGGCATGTCACCTCAAGCTGTTATGGTTTGAGGTCGTTTGTTATGCAGAAATAGATAACTATGACCCTCATATCTGACCCTTAGTGAGGCCACATGTGAAGATCCTTAGTATTAGAATACCCTTCACCAAGTGAAAAGCTGAAAGAGCTGCAGGAAGAGCCACACCTGCTGCTGATTGTCCATCACAGGATGCAAATAAGAAAGAACAGCATATACTTATTTTAGTGCCTCCTAGATACCCACTCTCATCTCAGGAAGAGGGCCTCAGGTCACCCTTTGAAACACTCCACATTGTTCCATCAATATCTACTCACAGGCCCATCTTCCTTTCTCACTCAGACTTTGAGGGCAAGGGCTATTTTCTAGAACATCAATGGCCCACACGATTTGTATTTTATAAATGTTGGATGCCTGTGGATCACACTGGCTTCCTACGTAGGAAGGTGAGCTCACCCAGACATACAGGATGGTTAAATATAGAGGGATACTTCAAAGAGCAGAGAGGCCAAGTCCATCTGTAGATGAACAATGAAAACACCTAAAATAGCCACGTAGTGCTTCTGATAAATTGGGCCCCTTTGGGAAACTGCAGGGAGTTGGAGAGATACGTAAGATGCCAGGGATAATGGAAGTCTCTGATTGGGGCCTTTTAGCCAGTAAGGCATCGGGTTCTCTGAACCTCTCTGGCCTTCCTGGCACTAAGTGTGGATGTGCCCTCCCTTGCATGGCTACTGTACAGGCAGCAGGTGCAACATCCTAGGATTGCAGTCAGCCCCAGGATAGTCTCCCTAGCATAATGCCATGTGAACAATGCTAAGTTAATAGGTTAATAAACCATGTTGAATGAAATGAAGTATGATTTGTGGCTTAAAGTACATGTATCTATATGTGCGTATGTGATATGTAATACATGTGCACATGTAATACTTGATAATAGTAAAGGTTCTTTTGTTGTTATTTGAGTGTATTACTTGAAAAAAGTTTGCTCTAAACAGTACCATGTGATGCAGCAACCTCATCCATCTTGCACTGATTGCATTTCCCGATTGTATCAGGAGGCCATGTAAGCAGTTGGCCTAGACAGGCTTGTCTGTACAAGCACGCCCAAGGATGTTCACACAGTAACGAATAGGATAGGACAGATTTCTCCCAACATGTCCTGTCAAGCAATGCTCAACTACGTACATGTGTTTTTTTCCTATGAGAGCACTTTTTGTTTGGCTTTTATCACATCAGAGATTCCTTGAAATAATTCAGTGCTATTAGGAACAATTTTGGCAGAAATTGATGTGCCATTCTTGGCTTTGTGTTTTTCTTTTGAAATCTCTAATAGGACCTTTACGAGCTTGTTTGAAGATGTTCATTTCCCTCCAAAATGTAGACCTTTTGTTCTAGGCATTTCTGCTATTCTCCAGCCAGTCACTAGAGGGAAGCATACGCCCGTATTTACACACTTGAACCCCTCATAGTAGATGAAAGAACTGCTAGTTCTGCCTCCTTGTGTATTGTAAGCACAAAAACACCCCACTGGGAAACTAGTAGTAACCTCAAACTAATTGTAGAGGTAGAACGATGTTATACAGCAGACTTATTGGAAGCAGCAAGTGAATGAAGAGTTCTAGAATCTCCAGATTGTTTTAAACACTGGGATATCAGTATCTTGCATTTCTTTCATTTTTCACTTCCTATTTTATATCTCTTAGTTTTTCTTCAATACATTTTGTGAAGTCAAGAATACACATATATCTTTACAGAAATAAATTTCCTTTTGTGTCCATGAAAGACGGGTTCTAGGACCTCCTGGAAACTAAAATCCATAGATATTCAAGTCTCTTACATAAAATAGTATGGTGTTTGAATAGGACTTATCCATATCTTCTTGTACATTGCTAAATGCTTTTTAATACCTGACACAATGTAAGTGCTGCATATATATATATATTTGTACATTTTATATAGATATAGATATAGATATATGGTATTCAGTGCTGAGACTGAACCCAGGGCCCTGTGCATTCTAAGTATACACTATACCATTTATCTACACCCAGTTGTTATGTTTTCTACCCATCCTTGGCTGGTTGAACTGTAGATGCAGAGAGCCTCCCTTCTTCCTACTCTATCCTTCATCATCATGGAGCAGAATAAGTGGGATCAGGCTCCTTTAAGCAAAGAAACAAGCTGTCTAATGACTTGCCCAAGGCCATACAGGGATTGGGCTTCTAGGTTCATACACAGCTCAAGACTGACAGCTGCCTTGGCCACTTCCTGAGCACCACCCTTCACTCTCATCCTACCCAGTCTCCCTGTCTAGGTACAAATTTTTAAGGAACTTAAGCACATTCCCAAAGCCACACTACACAAACGATGCATGGCAGAACAAGGGGAGTTTTTTGTTAAGAAAGTGAGAGTGGGTCTTACTTTCTGAATTTTCAGGCTATCACTATCTTATATTCCTTCTGTTTTTTACTTCTGGAATCTTTCTGTATGAAGTTGGGGGGCTGGTGGGAACCCAGAAGTCTAAGCAAGACTTGGACTCTATTGAAAGGACCACTTCTGTTGGATTCTTTTAGAAAGGAAGGGATTCGAACTAGGTGAAGGGACAGGTTAAGCTGCTCTATGTCTAAGGTGTTTCACAATGGCTGGCAGAAAACAAGCTCCTGACTGGTCTCCCTGCCAGGCTTATTCAGAAGGAAGAATAAGACAGATGACTTGGAATCGAATTACTTTTCTTAAACACACAATACCTTGGTACTTTCTTACTTGGCCTGTATGATAAAAATCCAAGAGAATGAATGAAAATGAGGTCATGTGAAAATTCAGTTGTCAGCATGACCTGTGGAAACATGGAAAGGAAGCTAGTCCTGGAACCTGTCTGCCAGCTTCTCCAGTACTCCCTAGTACCTGAGGGACTAAAGGAATTATTCTCTACACTTCCTGCTGGGAAATGAGAACTTCCGCTTGTCTTCATGGGGTGTCAGCATGCTGACCTCAGGGTTTCAGCTCACAGCTGTCCACACTTACTTTTTTTTTTTAATTTTGGCAGTGCTGGGATTTTAACTGAAGGCTTCTGCTTGCTAGGCAGCTTTAGTTGCTTTTCTGGTAAGGTCCTGCTTTTCTTTTTTTTTTTTTTGTCTGGCTGGCCTGACCTACTATACTTACTCCTGCCACATAGGCTAGAATGACAGACACAATCCATCAGCTTTTTTTTTGTTATTGTGTTGAGATGGGGGTCTCTTGATCTATACTAACCGAGTAGCTGGGATTACAGGTATGAGCCACCTCATGCAGCCTCACACCCACAATTTTTTTAAAGTATGAATATTAGAAATGCTAATGGTATTCCTATTAAAAGCTCCGTGGGTGCCATAAACCAACATGAACTGCTCAGGAAGTAACAAAGAACAAGGATAGGTGGAATATCTCTTATTCAAAATGCTTGGGACAAGAAGTGTTTGGATTTTTTTTCAAGCTTTGGAATATTTGCAGATTATCTTGGGTGTAGGACCCAAGTCTAAACATGAAATTCATCAGGCTTTTTTTTTTTTTCTGCTTATGTGGTGCTGAGGAATTGAACCCAGGGCCTCATGCATGCAAGGCAAGCACTCTAACCACTGAGCCACCTTCCCAGCCCTAAACATGAAATTTATTTATGTATCATATTTACCTTGTACGCATAGCCTGAAGGTAATTTTATATACTATTTTAAACAATTTGTTCATGAAGTAAATTTCCCAGTGTGAAATTTTCCACTGTTGTGCCATTTCAGAAAAAAAAAGGACTTTGTAGCACTTGGGACTTCAGATTAGGAATGTTTAAGCAGTATTAGGAAAATGATATGCCCGAGGCTAAAAGATACTCTTTTCAGTAACAAAACTAAAAGGCAGTACCAGGAAGGATTCAACTTTACTTTATGAATTAAAATACAAGTTAATAACACTTGTCAGGAAAGTGTGAGGGAAGGAGAGCAGGGGTTCTTATCTACTGACTTGATGCCAGTAGGATAAGGTGAGGAAGAGGAGGAGGAGGTAATAGGGAGGGGGACAGATAAACGGAGAAAGGCTGAGCAAATGCTGTTATATATTCATTGTACATACGTGAAAATGGAACAAGGTAAACGAAGGGTGGGGAGAAGTGGGGAAAATGATGAAAGAGGTGACAGTAATCAAGATGCATTATACTCACAAACTGACATATTGCATTGAAACGCCTTTATATAACTACTTACAGATAAAAAAGGTAATTTTATTATAACTTGCTGGGCTTCCCCTTTCTCAGGTCTTCCTTTGGATTACTGATAGCAGCCTCTCAGGCCAGTAAAAACTGGATCCTCTCTACTTCCATTTTTACCTTTTTTCAGTTTGTTACTTTTTTTTAAAACATTTTTTTATTGTAAAGCTACTATACAGAGGGTTACAGTTACATGAGTAAGGTAATGAGTACACTTCCTCTTGAACATTGTTACCCCCTCCATAGTTTGTTACTTTTTAGACAAGATCTTGACACATAAGCCAGGTTTGGCCTCAAATTATGTTCCTCATGCCTTAGCCTCCTGAGTAGCTAGGATCATAGATGTGTGTCACCATGCCTAGCTTCCTGTTTTAGTTGGAAAGAGCTATATGTTATTGGTGTTGCTTAGAAAAGCTAACAGCAGTAACTGACTTCAGCTCATGTATGGGCAAACATGAGCTCCTGCCTTTCCCCTCTTTCAGCTATTGCCATGTTTCCTGCTCCTTGATTCCCTGGTGGGATCTGATCCTGGGTGTACCTGGCCATTGGCAGCAGATACACCTAGCACACCACTACACCCTGGTCCAGAAGTTGGGGTGGGGTACAGTTGATATTGACTGGGCCTAAGCTTCTGTGCTGAGAAGGAAAGTCTTGTGGCTCCCCATTACCTACCTTATCACTGTGGGGGTGATCTCTGCACAGAAGAACACGCTGAGGCTGCCCACTGCGTGGGATGCAAACATGCCCACGATAGAAAATGCAATGGAGAACTTGTCCTTGACGCTGTCACTCATCCCTGGAGGAGGATCGGAAGTAGGCAGTGAGGGGGGAGAGCAGGAAGACAGCGAAAGCCAGCCAGGGAGCAGGGAAGGGGGGGAAGGAAGTCTGAGGCCATCCCAGGGGCTCCCCTCCTTCCCGACTGTGGTATGCAGCTCTGTCAGGGGCATGCAGCACCTTCAGATTTAAGAGCCCCAAGTCCTCTTGGCAGAAGACTCGAGCTCCTCTGAGCCCTTGTGCAGCGGTCATGCTAAGCTCCCAGTAGCCTGTTGCAGTCCTCAGGTAGGAGCAGGCTGGAATCTTCCTCCTGCCCTGGGCTTCAAAGGAGCCTTGGCTGACAGATGGACTTCAGCCTCAGGGTGACTGCCCAATCCAGGGGCAGTGTTGATTTAGGGGAACAAAAGCACAGGTGACCCATACAGAAGAATTCATGGCCTGGAGGGAAGGGGCTCAGCCAATCCCCGTGACTGTCAATGGTAGCAGAGCCTGTCTTGGGCAGGGTGGCATGGAGCAGAGCACGCTGGCATGCAGTCAGGTCACACAACCAGGCTACTTCTCCTCAGAACTTCACGGAAGGCATGTGCTCCCTGAGGCCCCCGCAGCATGATCTTGCCATGGGCCAGACAGACATGACAGCAGCATGAGGGGCAAGGCAGTGGCTCTGCTGTCCCTAGCTGTGAGCAGCAAGCTTGCACGAGGCCTGAGGGGACAGCCAAGCCCGACACTCCCACGGCTTTCTGACCCCACTCAGGTTGCCATCCATGAGACAAACCACTGGGGCTGTGCTGACTGTGGTGCCAAGGGGAGGGCATGCATGCCAAGCTGCACGAAACTGGGGACACATGAGTAGCTTGGTTTAGTAGCAAGAGGGCTAGAGAATACAAATGTATGCTTATAGTGTCCAACCTACGGCCAACTTCAGCTGCAACTCTTGGAGGACAAGCAGGGAGAAGAAAGAGAGGAAATGGAAACCAGTCTGTGAGTCTTGTGAAAACTCCCTCATGGATGCAATCAAAGATGAGGCCGAATTGGCACAAGGGTTTGGGACTCACCTGAGTCTGGATGCTGGCTGTATTTTCCGATCACTGGTCATGCCCACACACACAAGGGTATGAAAATGGGAAGAGGGGGAGAAGGCAGGTTAGGTTTGGGGTTATTGCTGTGGCTCCCACGTGACTTGTTTCTAAGAGAACTCCCTTTCTGTCTGGGTTGGCGCCAGCTGCCTGGGCAGTGGAATTCACACTGGATTAAACAAAGATGTTTTTGTTAGGGAGAGTGGGCTAGCGTTCCACTAGCCTCAGCCTGGGGAGATAATGCAGCTTTGCAGAAGAGACCTCAAGCAGATCCAAAGGCCAGGTTTCCTTGCATATGAAGTTATTCAAGGGCCTGTGCCAAGGGACATCAGGCACTATGGGGACAGACCTGTCAGACTACATTTCTGCCTGCTCCAAACCCTGCTCTTCACAGCTACTTGCCCTGTGCCCAGAGTGCCTGTGGCATTCCTGCTCAGAGCCAAAAAGACCATCCGTGACACCCTAGGGGTTGAGCACCATACCATGTGTGTCACAACTGGCGAGCCAAACAGAAGCTCTATGGAAGGGAAGCTAGGGCTGTGCCCACCAGGAGGACTGGTATGGGCAGAGATGTCACTTTTCCATTTCCATTATTATTCACAGTTCCAAGTTAGTATCCCATCAATGCATAAGAATGTGCCCGAGTTAGAAAATTCATCCCTGAGCTGGAAACTAGCTATTTTATAATCAGTCTGCACAAAGGCTGCTCTAAGATAAAAAAGGGATAGTCTTGTGTCTGATTCCAACACACAAGATTAGCTCTTGTAGAGGACCAGAGTGCTTCATGGCAGTGTCCAGACCATTCCTATCATGCTCTGGGCTGGAAAGGGAGACCCTGTGGTGGTTTCTTCACATACTGAGGTGGGAATTTGTGAGGAGCTGTAGGAAGCTTCCTGGGGTGGGGATGGGGGATGGCTAGATCAAATTTCTAGTTTGCCTTAGATTATCTTACACATTAACTGAGAAATTATTTGGTTTAAAGAGAGGCTGGTAAATTTGGGAACATCTACAAGAAAAAGTAATGTCTCGGTGTGAGGGAGGGTGTCAAAACAGATTTATTTTCCATTAATGACACAGGAAAAAAAACAAATCCTTTTGTTCGTCTTTGTCATGTGATGAGTCACCCAGAAATAGCCTGCCCATTAGCAAAGTCACACCCACCAGGACTCTGAGGGCCTGGCAGGCTGGGGAGGCCCAGTGCAGCTGGACGGCTCTGCATTGGGGCCACTGAGCTAAGGGAAGGAGAGGAGGGGAGGCCCAGTAGCCTCAGAGGCAGAGAACAGAGATGCTCTAATTAAAGCTCTGTCCTTCCACAGCAGTGTCTTCAAGCTGTTGATTTTGAAATGACCACTCAGGTCACAGAAGATTTTCTTCAAGTCTCATTCAACTCTTCTGCTATAGTTCGGATCTTGAATGTTCCCTAAGGGCCTATGTGTTGAAGGCTCATGGCGATACTGGGAGATGGCAGAACTTTTAGGAGGTGGGCCTAGGAGGAGTAACCTAGCCCTTCCTCTTCCTCTCTTTTGCTTGGAATAGCTTTCTCTGCCATGAGTTTCTCTATGATCTGCCTTGCACAGGCTCTGAGGCAATGGGACAATAATTCATAGACAGAAACCATCATAACTGTGAGCTAAAATAAACCTTTCCTCCCCTCAAGTTGATCATCTCAAGGAATAGAAACCTGATGCACATCTTCCAAGTATTCCAGCTCATTTCCCCAGCACATCCCCTCGTCCCCTTCCTTTGGTCTACTCACGGTTGAGGAGCCCGAGCTGCAGGAGCGAGGCCAGGGCAGTGAGGATCATGAAGAGCAGTAGCCCTCCCCTGCGCCCAAGGAACCTGACCACCACGCACATGGCCAGGCAGGAGGCCAGCGCGATGCTGGCCATGGTGTAGTAGTCGGCATAGAAGTTCTCTAGGAGTGGTACCTTCACCTCGTGGCCCATCATGCTCCTTGCAAAGCAGTGGTGGATGCCGTACCCTGTCAGCCTGGAGGAAATACACACGGAAAAGGTGGTGGGCAGTGTGTTCAGACTACAGGGTGTCAACAGGAGACACAAATAATTCAGTATGTGAGAGGAAAACATATACAATACACATAATCTGTGACAGAGACTTCAAAGAAATTTGTGTGATGCCAGTGCCAGTGGCTCAAGCATAATCCTAGCTACTCAGGAGGCTGAGATCTGAGGATGATGATTTTTTGTTGTTGTTGGTGGTGGTTGTGGGGCTTGAACTCTGGGCTTGGGTGCTGGCCCTGGGCTCTTTACCTCAACGTGAGCGCTCTGCTACTTGAGCCACAGTACCACTTCTGGTTTTCAGGTAGTTAAATGGAGATAAGAGTCTCACAGACTTTCTTGCCTCATCTGGCTTTGAACTGTCCTCAGATCTCAGCCTCCTGAGTGACTAGGATTAGAAGCCTGTGCCTCTGAGGACTATGGTTTGAAGCCAGCCTAGGCAGACAAATCTGAGGGACTCTTACCTAATTAACCAACAGAAAGTCAGAACTGGAGGTGTGGCTCCAGTGACGAGTGCCAACTGTGATAAAAATGCTGAGTGAGAGTCCAAGGCCCTGTGCATGAGTGCTTTTTGCTCTAACACATTCTTTATGGATGTGAAACAAGTGCTTTCTGTGCTATCAACTCTAATCCCACTGTAAGAACTATGGTCATTCCCACTTTGCAGGGGCCAAATAGGCATAGGCTGAGTCTCAGATGGTCAGTGACCATCTCCAAGTCACATTGCCTTGCTGGGTCTCTGCCTCCTCTGGGGCACTCAGGGTTCTGGAAATGTGGAGACCTACCCACTCTACCCATCCCTGCTGCTACTTAGCCAAGGCTGTAGGAGAAGCCAGTCAGAACTCAAGCCAGGCCAAGGGAATATACCTCGTTTTCAGGAAACCCTTTCAGAAATTCTGGATTTCTCCTTGCTTCCCTCCCACCATACCCTAGGTCTAGCTCTTTGCCCCTCAAGCGAGCACATGAACCACTGTGAAACATTCACCCTAACTAGACTATGTCCATGCCGCCACACAGGAAGGAAAAGTGAAGGGTCCGTTAGGATGTGGTGTGTAAAAGGCCAAATCCACTCATTATGTCAGCTCTCAGCATCCATCCCAGAGCTAAAAACTCCCTGCTTTCTCTCCCAACCACAGGGGAATCAGTGCTTTTCATCAGACCTTGAGGATGCATCAAGGTCAACTGCAGCAGACCCTGCCCCCATTGCACAGTGAATGCGTTTCCACTCACAGATGGCCAAGCCCCTGTGAGCCATTTTATAAGTTTAGCAATTGATTTGATTTGATTCCTCTGTTAGTCTCCTGGGATCCCAGATGAATTTCTTTTCTGGCCTGCTGAGATCACAGTGCAGCCTTTTCCCTTTTGGTTCTGGTAGAAATGAAGTCCTTTAACCATAACAGGTAATTTTAAAATAATAAAACCAGAGAGATTGATTCCTGCACCCCACAAGGATCATTAAAATAGAAATTTGCTTCTTGTCTATGTCAAATTTTGTGTTTCCCCTCCCCCTTCCCCCCTACCCCCCGCTGGAGAAGTAACAGGGTGCCAGTGGCTTGTTTGTAATCCTAGGTATTTGGGAAGTTGAGATGAAGAAGATGGTAGTTCAAAGCTAGCTTGTGCAAAAGTGCACTTGACTCCATCTCAATTGAAAAAGCTGGGTGTTGTGGCATTTGCCTTTTATCCCAGCTATAATGGAAAGTATAAAGTGAGAGAATCATATTCGAGGCATGGGCCCAGGCAAAAAGTATGACTCTTATCTCAAAATAACCAATGAGGAAAAGGGCTTGAAGCATGAACTCAATGGTACTGCCTCTGCCTAGCATGTGTGACACCTTGAATTCAAGCTCCAGTACTGCCAAAAAAAGAAGGAAGAAAAAGAAAGAGAGAAAAGTCATTCAATCCCTAATACCTCCACTAGCCTAGCGGTGTCCACATCAGACTGCTAGGCAGGGAGGTGAGGCGGGGGGGGGGGGGCTCTGGGCCTGCCCACTGCGTGGCTATGGCTGGTCTCTTGCCCACCTGGGCCTTAGACGAGGAGAATTAGATCTCTTCTTTTCTGTTGTTTGGCAGTGAACCTTTCTATACCTCTCAAAAGTGAAATTTAGCCTGGGACCCCCATACTGAGGACTGACTTAATAGAGCTGCGTTGAACAAAAGGAGTTGTTGGGAATAGTAGTTCCTGTCTTTGGCCTTGTCTTATCTAACAGCAGCCCTGAGATCTTTCACAAAAACATGTAAGCCTGTTTCCCCAGATCACCTATATATAACTCCTACGGAGAGTGCAAAACCCCACATGGCTCTAACTCTGAAGGGGCCCGTGTTGTCAGGACAGATAGGATCAGTGAGATGCCAAGTTGAGACAGGAAGAACCTTCCATGTACACTGAACCCAGGGACCAGGGCTGCTACCAAACAAAGGGGCAAAGGGGCCATCGGCCCAGCTGGTGGTGTGAGCAACCCCTGGAAAGGCCTTAGAGTAGGCTGCTTGCTGGTGTGTGTGTGGGGGGGGGCAGGGCCAGCTACAAACAGGGAATATAATCACTGTAGCCTGGGTGGAGGATCTGGTCAAGCCCCTGTTTCAAGCCCCTCTCTGACACAGTGCCTGCAACCTCCAACCATGGAGTCTCCTCCCATTGTGCACCTGAAAGAGGCGCCTCTGTACATCTTTGTTTCCCCCAGAGGTAGATGGGGAAGAAACCACCTCCTAAAGCTTCATCAGACCCGGGGCAAAGGAGACCACTGACATTGCCCTTGTAAAATATAGTGACCGTGCTAATGATACATCTATGCAGGACCTAGCTGGGCCTCCTGACTTTTTCCTGCCTCATTTATCTGGGAGCTCTAGCATGGTGCAGGACACAGGGGAGGATGGCCAGCCGGCTAGGCTCAGTGTGCCAAGTGCCCTAGGCTTTCTGGTGAAGTGGACAGTGACAAGGCCTTGCTACCCTATAGACCCAGTTAAGCAGCTCTGCTGGTGAACCACCCCTTCTGGGGCCCTTTTCACAGAGAGCTGGCTCAAAGAGCAGGCACAGGGAAGGCTGGGATTCCAAGTGGAGTTGGGGTAAAGAAGAGGTCCTTCCCAACTCAGCCCTGTGTGTCCCTGTGACTCACGAGTTTACACACAGGACCACGATGTTCTTCCACAGGTTTCGGGTTCCTACCACCTTCACGATGCATACTTTCTTGGGCCTTCGGGAAAGCTCCTTCTCCAGCTCTGCAAGAAATGAAGTCTGTGAGCCTGGGCAGGACAGAAGTCTCTGGATGGGAGGCACTCCATGGCCCCCAGCAGGGGAGAGAAAGCTTTCTTTTCTTTAAGTCAGGGATATAGCATGTAGGTTTTCAGTACAGAGATGTGTTCACAAGGCTAACTTCACAGTTCAAACTTCTGTGTGACACCAGCAGTTGGTTCAGAGTATACTTGGACTCTGTGTTTTCCCTGCACACACACTGGGCTTACAAGATAATCAGGCAGCACCGGCTCCTGCACTTTTGAGCACAGCTCTCCCTAGTAGTATCCTAGGCCCTGTGCAAACAAGGCAAGCAGTTCTTTACCTTGTAGAATCTGCATCCATCTGTGCACATGTCACAGGCCTGGAGAGCTGTGGCTGACGTGTGCCTTCACTTCGGGGGACAGAATGTTCCAGGGTTGCAGATCTTTGGATCTGAAAATGTGTCTGTGTGTGTACCCATCTGTGCATGTACCACAGTATGTGTATGCATGTTTTAATTAATGGTAAAAAATGCTTGGGAGCTGGGGCTGGTGTGTAGCACATGCTTAGCTTCAGTGAGTCCCTGGGTCCCACACCCAGCACCCCAAAACTGAGCCCAAACAGGTCTTTGAGATCTGCATGATACAGAATGTTTCAGCATGACGGGATATGACTAGCTGTAAAGCTGGGAGGCTGGGGCACTGGCAAGGCTCACCAGTTCTGAAAGCCATTCTTACTGGAGCCTAACAAATGTTACCTGAACCAGGCCAGCAGTTTGACAAAGTCCTGAGCTGATATGCCAATCCAACAGGGAAATTTAAAACAAGGCCGGGGCCTGCAGGAGCTGGCTGGCCACCTGCTGGTGAGCAGCAGTGCCTCACAGTCTTTGGGGCCCAGTCTGCGCCCCAGCTCCTTGTGGAGCAATTCTCTACTTAGGGACTAAAACAGAAAATAAAAACTCATAAGTCAAGTGGAGCCGTTGCCCTTTTTTCTTTTATCTTTCATCTTTTCCCCCTTCGGTTTATCTCTTATTGTCACTGTTTTTTATTTTGGTACCCTCTGTATTGTATATATGTTTATCTGATTTGGGGATGGGAAGGGGAATCACAGAAATGGTGAAACAAGGACAAAGGGTGAAACAATGCAACAGTAATACTTACAAGACACTGTGTTAGAAATGAACTTTATACCTTGGGGGAGAGGACAGTTCAGGGGAGGAATAGTGGGAGAAAATGAGGGATGGGGTAACAATGTTCAAGAAGAAGTGTACTCATTTCCTTACTTATGTAACTATAACCCCTCTGTACGTCACCTTTACAATAAATAAATAAGTAAAAATAATTCCATAACAAAAAAATAAGCAAAGACTGAGCGAGTGTCACAGGCAAGAGGAGACGTGGTGTGGGCAAGGCGACAGTTAATGATAATCCTAACACTAGTGTCCATGCCTTAATTTTTTTTATTGTGAAAATACCGTACAGAGGGGTTACAATTACATGAGCAAGGTAATGAGTACATTTCTTATCAGGCATTGTTGCCTCCTCCGTTGTTTCCCCTTCCCATCCCTTCCCATCTCCATCCCTCCCCGCGCCCACTCCTTAATTTTTATAAACATGTCATGGTAATACCAGACCTTAGCAATGGAGGAAACTAAGTCAGGAATACACAGAAGTTCTTTGTTGTCTCAACACCTTTCCTGCAAGGATGAAACTATACAAAAATAAGAAATGTACTTAAATAAAAACTATCAGTGGGGACAGAGAGGCTTCTGCCTACAGAGGAAGCCTTTTATAAGTGCCTAGAAGCACATGTAGTCACCTTGCTATCTGTGGGGTTTTTAGCCTCAGATTCAGCCACTCACATATTGAAAGCATTTGAAGAAACTGTACTGAACGTGAGCAGGTGTTCTTGGCATCATTCCCTAAACAACACCGTGTAATAACTGTTTCACTCACATCTTATCAGGGATGGGAGACAGTGTCGAGATGACTACGGAACATGGTGGCTGAAGCAAACACCGTGCTGCTCTATACAAGGGACTTGAGCATCTGTGCACTGTGTCCACCGGGGTCTTGGCACCAGTTTCCTGACGTGGCAGGATGCTCTGAGCCCCCAGGGGTGGGGCTGCACCTTTGCAGCAATCTCTAGACCCCTGCACTGGTGCCTTCAAGGATTCCCACCCCAACTTTACCTCTCCTCTTCTATCTCATTTGTCACAAACCTCATTCATTACAGTTTGAAGGAAGATATGTTGTTTCAAATAGGCAGTTGAGAATCTTTTATTAAGCACTTGCTTTTGGAGATAGGCCTCACTGTGTGGCTCAGGTTGGTCCTGGACTCCTGGGCTCAAGTGACCTTTCTGCCTTAGCCTTCAGAGTACCTGGGATAATAGGTACAAGCTGCCACACTGGACTTCATTTAAACAAACTCTTCAAGACTCATTTTCACCAGTCAGATAATGAAAGGGACAGGAAAAAAAATCTTTTGTTTGACTGACAGAGACCATGCCTCCTGAGTTTCCAGAACTTCCTTCCTTCCTCCTCTTCTATCTCTTCTTCTTCCTCCTCCTCTTGCGCCCCCCTCCGCCTTCTCTTCTTCCTCTTCTTCCTCCTCCTTTTTTTTTTTTGGTTGGTTGTAGGACTTGAATTCAGGGCCTGGGATCTGTCTCTGAGCTTTTGTGTTCAAGGCTAGTGTTCTACCACTTTGAGCAACAGCTCCACTTCTTGTTTTCAGGTGGTTAATTACAGATAAGAGTCTCATGGACTTTTCTGCCTAGGCTGGCTTCAAACCACGATTTGGGGATCCAGCCTCCTGAGTAGTTAGATTACAGGCAGGAGCCACTGTTACACAGCTCTTTCTCCTTATGTTTAGGGGTAGAAATTGAGGTCTATAAACAAGCTTGCATAGCTGGAGTTTCAGCTGCTATGTGGGATGTTGTAGGTAGGATGACTGTGCTCAGAGGCTTACCTTAGACCAAAAGAACATCACCTGATCTAAAAAATACTAAAGCTAAAAGGAGGTGTGGCTTAAGTGGTAGAACACACATGCCTAGTAAGCCATGAGGTCCTGAGCCTGAGTGGAGGATGTAAATTAGATGTACACACTCCCTTTCTCTATGGTTCAAAGCTAAAATACACTCATGAGTCATGGGGATTGCCACTATTTCTCAGAAGGACAATCTTCCAAGAAGGAAATATAAATATTCATTAGTAAAAATCCATTATGCAAGTTTAAACTTGCTCGTTCTGTTTTTTCCAATGTGGCCCATTCTCAACGGCTAATACCTTACTGTGTATGAAATATGATGTTAAAGAACCTACAACAATTGCATTATGACTTTAGTTTTCTTTTTAATAACATTAAACCTGAGAGCCAAGTCTAAGAATCAACTGTAGTCTACAGAAGTAACTGCATTATTCTCAACAGAATTAAGTTAACCTTTCCAGGGCTATTGATACTTCGTCAGGGTCTCTGTTACTCACAGCATCAGCTCATCAACAACAACAGAAAACTTCTTCAATGCTAAGCATGCTCTGGGACAAAACCCAAAAAACTCTGAACTGTAAGAAATATTAGCTGGGAAGTAATTAAAAAATGAGAAATGCTTTTTACATTTTTTAGTCATCAGATGGAAGCCTAGGTACTTTTCTGGAGATAAAAGGGGCTAGAAAAGGCTCCTGGGTGGTTGATCATCTATGAGCAACAAGAATGCTGCTGACACTTTTTTTTTTTTTTCAGAACTGGGGTTTCAACTTGGGGCCTTGGTCTTGGCAGATGCTTTACCAATTTAGCCCACACCTCCAACCTTTTTTTTTGGTCCTTGTTATTTTTCTTACAGGACCTTCTATTTTTGCCGGGGACTGGCCTTGGACTGTGATTCTCTTCTCTATACCTCTACACCTCTAGCTGGGATTACCAAGCCAGAATACTGTTGCCTTTTTTACTTAAAACCCCTGAGAAATACAAGCAGAGCCTACTAAATTTTGACAAGCTAAGTATGTCTAGCACCTTTGTGCAGCTTCTGTTCCTCCCTATTTCCTTGACCCATGTGGTTAATGCGGAAGCTCTGGGAGCAATGATGGCCTGACAGGTCTGGGCTGAAGCCAGCTCTGTGCTTCTGTTGGCTTCTTTGGGAAAGTTGTACACGCTATCTTCCTAATGCAAGATTTTGCTTCCTTCAGATTAACCATGGTCTGGAAATATTACATGAAAAATTCCAGAAATAAGTAATTTCTAAGTTATAGCATTTCTTTTAGTATATTGTCACAGTTGGTCTATTTTGTTATTGTTGTTAATTTTACTGTCCCTAATTTGTAAATTAAACTTTATCACAGGTATGTGTGTACACACACACACACACACACACACACACACACACACACACACACACACATACACACACTGTCCTGGAACACATCTGTGCCTGTGGAGAAGGGAGCGCTGCTGTTTGATCCAAGCCCAGGTCTGTAATTAGGATGACATGCTGCTGTGAGGACCACATGCAGGAAGGTGATGAGATGTCTTTGCAGTTTCTGGGAGTACACACATCCCTCTGGCTTTGTGCCTAGCAACTGCACCTGGCTCCTTACCACCACGGCAAGAGGCAAAGGTGGCCCTGGAAGTCGGCCCTGGCCTCTCTGCACCTGGAGAGTGTGGCTTCCAAAGGACAGCTGAGGAAGGAGGCAGTGGCGCTCACTGGCCAGGCTCAGCAGGTGCAGAGGGGACCTAAGCTGGCCTCGTGGGCAAGGAGCTGGCCAGGCTGCAATCTTTGTGCACAGTTCTATTGTGGAAGTGGCAAATGTGCTGGGAAACAGCAGTTTTAGACATGATGACCAAGAAAAGACAAAAAGAAATGAAGGAGCGGAGGAGAAGGGAAAGGATGTTGGGGAGGGAGAAGGAGGAGAAAAAATACAAGTCACACTACAAGCACCAGAGCAGGGCGGCGGCTCTGAAGCCTGGTCCATTCAGTACAGATTGTGCTTGCTGTCTTTCTTGCCAGCAGTCCTCCTTTCTTTGAATATGAAGCTAGAATGGTGGCACTTAGCAACTTGAGTGAATGTGCTTTTGGCATTTGAATATTGTTACCAAATGACCCAGAGCCAAAGATCTATGCACATTGCCAACACTTGACCCAGCACTGCATTCCTGCGTGGTCTCCTGACCACCAAGTGAGAGCAGTTATACTTCACTCAGGTCAAAGGCAAAGGCCCTGGGGGTAAACCTTCCTTTCATCTATTGTGAGTGCTGTGACTTTACCTAGTGCAGGGAGTGTTGTGGTCTGGTCCTGGTACCCTCCTGTCACTGCAGGCTCAGAACAGATTTACGAGACAGGGAGAAGGGCAAGGGAAGATTCCAGCTCTACCTCTGCTCAGGGCTGGGAGAGCCAGCTCTGTGTGGCCTCTGATGGGTCCACTTGGTTCACCAGACTCCAGTGGGGTTTCCTGCACAGGACCAAGGACACTTGCTTTGTTCCCCAGGTGAGGACGAGGGCTGTGCACGTGCTTCCCTCCACTGGGCTGCCTTCCATGAAATGCTCCTTCCCCTGGGGTACCCCAGAATGGAGGTCACTGCTCCCTGCACTCATCTTCTTTGGTTCCCAATGCCCACCTGTGAAGAAGGGGGAACAGGAGCTCCCTCCCTCACAAGGCTCTGCTGTGGATGAAATGCATGGCAGACACATTTGGAACCAGCAAAACTTCCATTTCTGCTATAAATGTTCACAATCTTGAGAGCTGTGACCCAGGAAGGAGAGCTGTCAAACATATTTTGACCACTGTGGGAATGATGCCTGGAACAAGTCCAAACATCTAGAGAAATCTAGCTATATAGCCCTTTAAGAACATCAGGCATGCATGCTCAAAAAGATTAAGTGAATTTGGAAAGCAGTATGGAGGCTCCTCAAAAGACTCCATATAGAGCTCCCCTATGATCAGCAATCCCACTTTTAAGGCACTTACCCACATGATCACAAACAAGACCACACTAAAGCTACCAGCACAACTATGTTTATTGCAGTATTATTTACCATAGCTAAGATATGGAACCAACCCAGATGCCCCTCAATAGATGAATGGATCAAGAAAATGTGTACACACACACACACACACACACACACA